ATCGCCGCCGTGTACCACCGCTGGAGATCGCCAACCGCCGCTGGAAGTCAGCCGAGCTCAGCCCAGCGCAACCGCACGCCACCGCGAGCAGTCGCGCATCGCCGAGCCCAACGCACGACGTCCAGCGACGCCCAGCGATCATGCCCGTTCGTCCCTGCTGCTCGCTGTCCGCCCGTGCTGCCAGTTGCTTATCGCGTCGTCCCCAGCGCGCAAGAAGTATGCGCGCATCATCCCGCGCGCGCCCAGGTGTCTTGCCCAGCACGTACGCGTCCGCCCACTCGCCAGGCCCAGTCCGCAGAGGCCTAGGAGTCTCGCATCAGCACGCGCGACACGCCCCAACGCCCGACGCGCACACATGCTCGCTGCCCAGCATCCGTCCGCGTAGCCCAGCAACCCGCACGACAAGCCCAGCGCCCGACGCGCGTTTGCTGCCACCCGCGACCAGTGCCCGCGAGCTGCCCGCTGCACCCGACGACCGAGACCCGCACACCATCCGTTCGTGATCCGTTTGACGTGTTGATTAAAATCAACTAAAGGCCAAACCTATCCGCCCATTAGGTTGTGGTGTTCAGACAAACTTCACCAACGGTACTCTACATCGTCTCAGAGTCGGCAAAAATTTTAAAAGGTAAACGTCCATATCCTAACTATAGATTCCAATGCGTTAGGATTTATTTCGATAGAGTTCAATGCTGTGCATGTTTTTTGACTTTCCTAACATAACCCAACATTTGGCCAGCGCAATTCACTTGTAAAAGAATAAAAACGATCTTTTCCTTTGGGAATATCGTTATTATTTGCACTTTAAGTGTTACCCATTATTTGATCCTAAGTTTACAACCAAAATTATAAGTCCACCTTTGGGTGAACCGTACGCTTTTGAAATAGCTCACTATAACCATCACGAAGGAGATTCGTCCTTGTGAAATGTGAAATAAAACGTCCTTTGGGCTCGAATTAAATCACTTCATTGACAAACCTATGATGGAGGACTTGGATGTAATTTATTTCAACCCATTACACATTTAATATAATTTTTATTTACGGGATTTTCCTAAACATGCTATTATTAATCCAATTTGCACATAAGCAATCACATAAGAACATGAATGATTAATAAGCAATAATAAACTAGGATTATAATCCAACTATCATAGCCATTAAGAAATCTCCAATGTTACGGAGAAAACATAGTCATGTCCTTGTTGAGTGTGTCCTTCGATTCAGGTATTGGATCTCCCCTTTCGCATAGACTCCCACTGAATTGGTCGTCTTCGGGAAAGTCGCCATTGGATCATCACCATGGCATACGTGTACGTGTTTATCGCCTCGCTCCATCAAGGTTGGTCCACGCTCGCTGGATCAATAACGAATAATATAAACAACAATTACATAATTCATCCTATGGCCCACGCAGAAGCCGTATATGAGTTACTATGAAAGCAATAAACTATGCGGTGTCCAACTGCGCAAATAATTTATTAAAATCATTCACCAACACAAAAATTCATCGACATGCCTGAGGCTTTAAAAACATCATACATTCAACATGAATTAAAATCCATACATACGGGCCACAATAGTCGAATTCAAAATTACCTGCAAAAACTTATTGCAATTTCTAATCTACTATGCCGATGAGTCCGTACGCACATAATTCATGTAAACAATCAAAGTTCAAATTCAAACCGTGCACGATGTTGAATTAAACCTAGGCTTTGATACCAGTTGTTGGGTTATATGAAGAACGTCAAACAACATGCACAATATTGAACTTTATCGAAATAAATCCTAACGTAGCGGAATCTATAGTTAGGATATGGACGTATACCGTTTAAAATTTTGCTGGCTCAGAGACGATGTAGAATACCATTGATGTAGTTCGTCTGAACACCACAATCTAATGGGCAGATAGATTTGGCCTTTACTCGATTCTAATCGAGAGTTCCAATGATGTTCGGTCACACGACATCATCACACGGTCGCTGGGCGTGTGCGCGCATAGGCGCTGGCGTCTGGCTTCGCGCGGGCGTGTGGTGCAAGTATCCTGGGCGCGCGCGGGATGATGCGCGCGTGATCCTTGTGCTCTGGCGACGGGCAGCAGGCGCGAACAGCGAGCAAGCAGGTGGCGTAGGTACTCGCGGACGGTCGCTGGGCATTGCTGGTGGGAGTTGGCGTCGGGCCTGGCTGGGTGCGACTGCGGGCGGTAGCTCGCGGTTGCGATCGGTTGAGCCTGGCTGACTTCCGGCGGTGATTTCCAACAGCAGTCGACGGCGGCAATCGGCTGAGGGATATGGCTGAAAATATATGTGTGGAAGACTCTCGAATATATTGTACCAAAAAGCCTTCTAAAGGATTACCTAAACACCTACTTAGATTAATCTTGGTGGAGCGATTAATCGAATCTCCCTAACTCTCGAACAATGCTCTTTCTCTCGTGTATGTAGTAGAAAATCAGTCAGCTCTAGTCTTGTGCAAGAGGTTGGGACTTGGTGTATTTATAGGCTCCATTAGGGACCTTAAGGATGTGCAAAATATAGGCTTATCCCATTAGGCTAAGGAATCTTAATCCCATTCCATTTACTAATCCAATCTAGGATAGAACTCTTCTACTACTTATCACCTTCTAGAAGACTCTCAAGTCTCCTAACATTAGACAAGCTTCTAGTTGGAATATTCTCTTCCTAATAGAATAATAAATATGGAATAAAATTAATTCCTTATTAAATGGAATTAAATAATAAAACATCCCACTAGAGTAATATTATTGCTCTCCCTATTTAGCTCATAATTTATCAATAAATTCGAACCTCCATGATTAATTATATTAATCTGATTGATCGATTTACCTCCCTATGTTTAAGATATAACATCCGTTGATTAATTAAATTACTGATAAAATTATTAATCAACTTCTTATTCAATTCCGAAATTAGTACCACTCAAATCCTTGACCTTATGCTAGACAATCGTCTACTTGCAGGGTTTTAACATAATGTACATTCTTGATCTCATTTCAGGGACGTCATCAATCTAGTGCACTGGAACATAGTGACCATAAATAATTTATAATAACACATCATATAATCATTCTTATTTACCAAAATACCTCGTATGTTATCCTAATAAAAATAGGAATCACTTGGTAAATCAAATAAACAAGAAGTGAATATATAACGCATCAATCACCGAAGGTCTAGATTACAACAACGATCAGTGAGTCTCATAAACTTATCCTTCCGCGGTCCTGTTCAACACTTATCATAAGTGGTAGTGTAATTCGTCAGTCAAAGACCAACTGAATCAAGAATACACTACAATCTTTTTCCAAGAGGGGTCTCACTGCCTGTCTAGACTGTGAACGAATAGTTTAGTCTTATAAGAACTGATAGGTGATCTTTCTGCTCGAAACACTTCGAACCACACTATCTCAATTTAAGACAAGGAGTATAATTTGCATAAATAAATAAACTGCAAACATATGTACTTTGACTAAAACATGATGGCCAGATCAAAATGGAATCGATAGAATTTGCAAAACATAGCTTTTACAGCATATCTCTAACCCAGATTGCCTTCTAGATTCGAGATTAATCATTGAGGATTAAATAGGGGAATAATTACCAGATTTAGTAAGGATCTTGTACTACACGTAGCGAAGTACACACACATGAACAATAGAGGATATTACAACTACTATAAATAGGAGCTTGTGTAATGGCTGAAGGATTTTTTTTGGCCACCCAAAGATTCGGCTGTAAGACTTCTGCCAGACTGGGAGAGCAGTTCGGTTTAGTATAACAATAAGTCGATAGAGTACCAAATATTACGTTTGACGTTTGTTGCTACTTAAATTGTTGGCAACAACATAAATGACAAAACTTGTTTCATTCTATTCTTATAATCATTCCATTCTTCGATTCATTTCATTCCTACAAAATCAAATCTTCCATTATATCAATCATGCCATTAGTGTTATAATAATTTGGCTCTCGCGATGAGGACAAGTTACTAGTTATATAAAAGTAATATGATTATCAGTTCAGATAGTTTGAGGATAGCGACCGATTAGATTTAGGATATTCAATTTTGTGATGGTTCCGATAAGTTCTGCCCCTAACAATATAACAATTAGTTTAGACAAATATGTATGGACGCGTCATCCTGAACACTTTATATATATGTCGTTATTAGATTTGGGTAGATTTTAATTTATTTACGATCCAAAAGTAATTAGGTCCGAATATCCATAAATATGTTGATTATTTATGGTCATAATAAATGTATTATATGCATTTTAATACCATTTCTTTTTATAACCATTCAATTTTAAAATTAATAACTTTTGTATTTTTTTTATCGAGTTTTACATATATAATATATCAAATTAATTACATCTTGATGAGTTTCGATTTAATATCCATACTGTGTGTAAAAAATATATATATATATATATATATATATATTTATCTTTATAACAATAACAACATTGTTTTTCAATATTAGTTATAAAAAAAAATTATTTATCAATTAATATATTTATATTTCAAATAGTTATATGTTATAAGTTAAAAAAAAATTATAAATATAACACACGTAAGTCGCACGAGTAACAAATGTCATTCTAAAATATATAATAATATATATTTTTTGTAAAAAAATAAATAAAATTTAAAATATTTTTTCTCATTAATTTTAAAATTTAAGAATAATATTTTAACAACTATCCGTGTAATACACGGGTGTTGTACTAGTTAGTTTTATACAAATATGTATGGACGCGTCATCCCAAACACTTTATATATAGATGACACGTGTCATTCCTTGTGTCTGAGCCCCTCTACACGCGTCAGAAAAAGGTGCGCGTACTAGTACACGTGTCTTATTTCACCGCCCTCACGATGCCCTTTACTTGTGCTATATAATGTCCCGAACGCTTCACTCATCGTTGTCAATTGAGCAGAAAGAGAAAGGGATTTAGGAAAAAAAAAATATTAGCTATGTCTTCACAACAAGAGAAGTCTGAGTTGGACGCCAGGGCAAAGCAAGGAGAGACGGTGGTCCCTGGCGGCACAGGCGGCAAGAGCCTGGAGGCTCAAGAACACCTTGCTGAAGGTACGTAAAAGTAATTATTTCCTTCATTTATCAACTCCATATATATATATAT